TATTTCAAGATATTTTTGTATAATTTTTGTAAATATATTTGTTAAACTGAGATGTCTGTTTTATTTTGATTTTTACGGGATTATGACAATTTATCCATCGCACCATATATATAGTTAGGTAATGAAAACTTTGGTAATCCGTATGGATAATCCCAAGGAGGATGTAATCCAGAGAGCTCAATATCAAACCAGAGCAAATATTAATTTAACTAAAATTAGAAAACAAACACCCTTAAGGGTCCATTGATTATATTTTATTTCCCCAGGAAGGTGTTTTTTTCCTGGTTCTTCAAATCATATTTTTAAGCATAAAAAACGGTTTTAAAAATTTTTTTTAAATTAATTAAATCAATATATATATATATATATATATATATATATATAATCGACTCTCCCATCGAGATTCGACATATGAGGGTCAAGCAGATCAGTTTCCAGGAAACCGACAGCCCGACACCGGCACATGAGATTTGATTACAGTGGTGAAGGTCTCGTGCAGGACCATCCACACATTTTGAAGGGATGAATACAGAGAGCTGAAGCACCGAATGCCACAAGGTTCCCAAACGACCCTCCGCAGGTTTTGAATTCAGAGTTGTCCTTCTCCTAGACCAGTTGCCATCCAAGGCTATAGAACCCAGTCTGTCCTGCTATTTTACCCATAGCTGGAGGGAGAGGAAGAGGATTCATACCTTTCCCAAGGGTATTAGCATGTAAGTGAATGTAATGGATTCGACTGGAATTGAAACTCGGCTCTCTCTGATTCCTCAATCCAAGCCACTATCCATTACTCCACCATCCTTTATATATATATATATATATATATATATATATATATATATATATATATATATATATATGTGTGTGTGTGCGATATAATGAATAAATTTATTCTTTAGTATTTGAAGATATTTTTGTGTAATTTTGTTAAATATAACTGTTAAATTGAGATGTCTGTGTTATTTTGATATTCATGTAATTTAGACGACAATTTATCCATATATATATATATATATATATATATATATATATATATATATATATATATATATATAATGAACCCAAAGACACACACACACACACACACATATATATATATATATATATATATATATATAATGAACAAAGACACACATACACATATATATACATATATATATATATATATAATGAACCCAAAGACACACATACACATATATATACATATATATATATATATATATAGAGAGAGAGAGACCATTTTAAGGTTCCATGTAATAAATTACGGATTACCTAGTTTTGCATAAACTAAATATATATATATATATATATATATATATATATAGGAAAATAGGAAACTAAAATGATACATATGACACACTCATATCCTCTCTCCCACCTCACTTCCTCACTTCGTTAACTTTATGTATACTTGATGAGGTCCGTAAAAATGTGAATTTTCTTTTCATTCTTCATTTCAGCTTTTGGAAGTAAAAGTCTGATGATCCAGAACCCTGTTAAAGGGGTTATGGTGAAATAGCTTATTACATGGAATCTTAACGTGGTCTGTCTTTTTATTCAAACATATCTGCTCTGAATTTTACATTGAGCTCTCTGGATATCATCCTCCTCAGGTCTACCAATACGGATTACCTAAGTTTACATAAACTATATATATATATATATATATATATATATATATAATATGAACCCAAACCAAAAACTCACACACACACATACATATATATATATTAGTATTATATATATATATATATATATATATATATATATATATATATATATATATATAATGTACTCAAACTCACATAAAGAATTTTTGTATGATAGATATTAATGCACTAAATGAAATTACAAGACAGTAATATGAGATCGAAGAGATAATCACTTTGGCAAGATGTGATTTTTTCTTTCTTTTTATTTCATGCTGACTTTCTTTGGATTTTTTTCTACTTTTAATGATTTTAAAAAGCACAATCCTTTCTTACATCTGACAACAGAGTTAATTGTAAAGATAAAAATCCCAGATTACTCTGATAGAAACTTTTGCCAATGCAATTACATAAATATTACCATCGCTTTTTTCATTTCGTTTTTTTTTTTTTGCTCTTTCAGATAAACTAACTGAACGAATTATTCTTGAATTTCAATTCAGTTTCTACGCATTTTTTCAATTTAATTGTGCACATAATTATCTATCTTTTTTTGTTGTTTTAACCATTTCACCCCAAGCAAAGCAATAAAGCCACTAAGACACAAGGGGTTACTCAGTGTGAGAGAATAAGAATAAGAAAACATTATTAAGTGGATGAAGCTATTAAACATGTATTTTCTACAAGTTTGCTGTGGATGTAGTTTGGTAGGTTTCCATGTGTTTAAATGAGTCCTAATTGAGCTATGGTCAGAGAGATGTAATGTGAGCCTTTTTGATAGGCATGTAGTGATAGGTCCAATGTAATTATTCATGAATTTGGTTAGATCAGAAATGCAGTTCCTTAAGGTATATGTGAATTCATAAATAATATTGTTTCTCTGCAATTGGGATCTTGCAGGTATGTTGTTATTGTTGAAGATAAGATTAGCTGTTTTAAATTTTTTATAGTAGATAATTCATTTTTCTTTCCTTGCTCTGGTTGACTGGAGGTGTGTATTTCATCTTACTTCTCAAGGTTCTCAACAAAATCCCAAGAAGGATATGCAATGTAATCTATCCTGACTTAGCATTTTGACTTTAGTCACTTTCTTCCCAAATGTGATATGGCTTCCCTCTGTCTTTTTTACAAATATTTTCATGGCAACTGCTCTGCCAAGCTTTTTTCCCTGGTGCCCTAACTATATGAATTTAAGCAGGCTACTAGATTGGCATATAGTTCTCTCCCTTTTACTGTTAAAACAGTTAAATGCAACTGCCACTTCTACTCCAATAGCTTCTTTACTTGCACTTCCCAACTATGGAACTCCCTTCCTCTTACTTGCTTCCCTGATAACTACAATCTTCAAAAATTTAAATGCAACATCAATCACCATTTTCTGTTGTCTTGGTTCCCATTCATCTTTTGTCTTTTCCTCAGATGCCCAGTCTTTTCTCTCACTTTCATTCTCTGTAACACCCTGCATTCAAGTGGCACTCCCACCTTGCTTTGGGTGAAATGCTTAAATATATATATATATAAATATATATTTAGGCATTTTTTTTCTATGACTACAACAGATAATTTATTTAAAAATTCTAAAATAATTATAACAGAGCATGTTTGTGCATGTATTTAAAAATCACTATGAAAATGGAATGCAAATTTTATCACAGTTACTATATTATATTTGACTTTGTAATTTAGCCCTGAAGATGATCTTAGAAAAGGTCGAAAGTACTTGCATAAAAAAGTGCAGAGGATTTGGAAAGAGTTGGATGAGTCTAATGGTGATTAAAAGGTGTTTGGAGTAATCACTAGTGATGACAATGTTATGCCTCCATTCATCATCCCACAGAGCCTCAGACTCAACATGGAGACCTACATCAAGTGTCTTGAGGAGGTAATGCTGCCCTAGGTCAAGAGGGTGACTGCTGGATGATCCTATATCTGGCAAAACAGGACTCTGCACCATGCCACACAAGCAGAACCTTGTCATGGTTGTCAGATAGTTTCTGCGACCACATTACATCTGGCCACCTAACTACCCAGACTGCAGCCCCCCCCCTTGATTATTATATGGGGTGCACTTGAGCTAGAGACCAACAAAACTCCTTTTAACACCAAAGATGAAATGAAGGCAAGGATTATGGCAGCATTCACCAAATTAAACAAGGAGAATGTCCAGAAGACTTACTGGAGATTCTGAAGTTGTCTGGAAGCTGTGGTTGAAGCCAATGGGTATTTTATTGAATAAATTTACTCTTTAGCATTTCAAACAGGATTCAGTTCCCTTCTTTTGCTTTGAAAGCCCTTATCTGCTAATTTTATTTTATTTTTTATTTTTATTTTCATATCCAAAACATAAACAAGGTAATTAATAGGAAAGTTGCTTCTCTGTGTCATGCTAGTCAGTTTTTCTTACCTGAATCTATTTTATATATTTATAAGTCTATTATTCATCCATACCTTGAATATTGCCACCATATATGGTCTGGTGCTCTTGCTATATATTTACAGATCCTTGATAAAATCTAAAGAAGAATCTGCAATGTTGTTGGTCCTGATCTAGCATCTCGGCTTCAGTCACTTTCCCACTGCCATAACATAGCCTCCTTGTGTTTTTCTATAAATAATTTCATGGTAATTGTTTTGATGAACTTTCTTCTATGGTATGTAGAATAAATAGTAACAAGTTTATTGTAGAAACCAGTACAAGTAAGGAAGTAATCATTATGTGCACGGTAGTCGCAAGTCAGTACTGTTGTGTGCGTGCTGCTATCGGAAGGCCACTAGTCTCGCAGATTCCAGCTCAACTCTCCCATCCACTGTCTCCCGGATACTTATAGGTGGTTAAACCTATATTGCCACCACTTATGGGGGTAGCAAGCTATTCCATCACATCACTAGACAAAGTTTTTATCTGGTGGCTGCTGGCTGTCATCTGTTCATTGTGTGCATATGTGTACGAACTTGTAGATATGTAACGTATGTGCATGTGCCCGTGTTGTGTGTGTGACTTACATGTGATATTACCAATTAATGTAGACACAAGCACAAGTACATACACACAATTTGACTAAGTTTGAAATAAGACTTTATAATAATACATTGTTCTCTCACTCAGTCTGAGCAACTCTTACCCTGGGCTGAACAATACAATCATAACATTAGAGATAAAAATAACTAGTAGAAAAAAAGAAAAGAAAGAAAAAAACTTTATCAACAGCTTTATGTCTGTCAAACTGTCTCTTTTCTTATTTGTGAATGGCTGAGAAATAATTAAAAAAAATGTAAAAAAAAAAGCTTTTTTGCTTTTACCTACACTGAAAGAGCCTTAGTACGTCATCTATAGGCTTACGATGAATTCACTATGAAACACCAGTTTCCATACAATCACCAAAGTTAAGCAACATCAAGCCTGGTCAGTACCTATTTGGGTGACCACTTAGGAATACCGAGTGCTGTAAGTTTGGAAAGTGCCTGAAAACCATACAACAGGTTGAACCAAGTATTGTGAGAGAAATTGGGTAGACAATAGCATGAAGTGTGACTGCTTGGGAATACCCTGCAGTGTAAGTTTGGATGTGCGGCTGGTATAATGGATAATAGCTTGTTGTGATCCATCTACCCAGGTTTGTGCTGCTATCTGAGTGTCAGGATTCCAAACATTTAACAACAACACATCTTTTAAATGAAACATAAAAAAGTTATTTTCTGGAGGAAAAGTAAAAGCAAAGCATCAATTGAAATAACATTTATATATTCTTTTCGGAAATATACAATAACAATAAAATGTTTAATTTTCCTTGCAGTGAAGTTTGTTTTATCAAGTAATTAAGTGTTTGCTGCACCATGTGAAATGTGTGAATAAACTCACTTTATGATGATCAGCCTAATGTGTTTGTAAGTTCATAGACATAAGCTTAGTCAGCAGCTGCTGGCTGTCATATCTTCCATTGTGTGCATATGTGTGTATGCATATGTAGATTAAACTGACCTCCAAAATTGTTTTGAGCCTCAACAAACAACATGCTTCTATTTTTATATCTGTAAGGGAGATCCAAAATCTAATTTCCCATAGAGGTGTGACCTTTTTCAATACTAATGAATACTATTTACATTATTCAGACTATTGTCCTCATCTTTGTTGCCATATTTATTACAATGTTTTGGCCGTTGTACACTCCAGCCTTCTTCAGGTGGTTGGAATATCGAACTGAACCATTTATTTCAAGAACACATGGCACAGTGGATAAAGGCATTAGTTAGATCCAGTGACAGAACCCAAAGAGTGTGAGTTCCATACCTGGTTAAGGCAGTGGAGAACTTGGAGAGGAGAATTAACAGAAGATAACTGATAACTGACATCCAATAAACATGGCATGTGGAACTAGAACAGTCTACAACAGTGAGCGTAATAAAGGGTTCAGTTCAACATTCCAACCACCTGAAGAAGGCTGGAGCATACAATGGCCAAAACGTTGTAATAAATATGGTAACAAAGATGAGGACAATAGTCTGAATAATGTAAATAGTATACATAATACCTCACCTCAGAAATGTAGACAGATACTAATGAATAGTTAAAAAATAATTTCACACTGGTTCATGAAAATATTTTTCTCGAATTTGTGTGTGTGGTGAAGTGAGTTATTATTGTTATTTTCTAAAAATGACACATGACATATCTACAACTATGTCCACAAGTATTTTGGCAGTATTTGCCCTTGTAGTTATCATTTATCAAAGAAACCTTTATTAGTTGAAAAATATATGTAGACTTAAATTCCTATAAAGTAATCCCTGGGACAAAAGCAACCAATAAATCTTTTATGAACCAAAACATAAAAAGTTCTCATTGACCTTTCATTGCTCAACTGTAGGTGTAGGTGCACTTTACAATGAAATTTAAGCCACAAGATGTCTGACTGATTACATCAAAAAAAACAGGATGGAATTCAGAACCTGAAAAGTAATTTTGACACAAATGAGGATTATTTCATCATCTTTCTGTCAGAAAAGCCAAAGGCAGAAAAACATATCAGATATTAATTTGATAAAGAAGCTTATTTAATAATAAATCATCTCCAGAATAACACAGTACATTACCATTATTATTATTTATTATACATACACTAAAGATCAAAAGTTTGGGATCACCCTGAGTTGTTTCACTAACAATATCTGTCTATATTTCTGAGATCAGTTATTATGTACACTATTTACATTATTCGAACTATTGTCCTCATCTTTGTCACCATATTTATCACAACATTTCGGCCTTTCAGTATCTGTCTATATTTCTGAGATGAGGTATTATATACACTATTTACATTATTCGCACAATTGTCCTCATCTTTGTCATCATATTTATTACAAAATTTCGGCCCTTTAGTATCTGTCTATATTTCTAAGATGAGGTATTATGTACACTATTTACATTATTTGGACTATTGTCTTAATCTTTGTTGCCATATTTATCACATTTCGGCCATTGTGTGCTCTGGCCTTCTTCAGATAGTTGGAATGTTGAACTGAACCATTTATTTCGCTCGCTGGGGTAGACTGTTCTAGTTCCACATGCCATGTCTAAGAGTTCTGAGTTCAGTATCTGGTTAAGGCAATGGAGAACTTGGAGAGGCAAATTAACAGGAGATGACATCCATTAGACATGGCACATGGAACTAGAACAGTTTACCCATATAATACAAACCCTTTCTTTGGTAATCAAACCCTATAAATTGTACTTTTACAATTTCATTATGGCCAGCATTTCCTATACTTAATTAAAAAAAATGGTTTTAAATATAGAATAATCTAATTTAGTTTTATTTTATTTTATTTTACAGGAATTTAAAAAAAAAATTTTTTGTAGATGTGCCTAATATGCACACCTAATTTTGCTTATTATTTTTTAGAAAAATTGCTAATTATAGATGGGGAATTATGGTATGTATATACATATATGCTTTCTGACCATGAGACCCCGGTTTGAACATCACCATGGCCGATTATCAGAATGGATTGAGGTCGATCCCAGCATTCAGCACCTTTGGAAAGTGCCTGAAAACAATACCACAGGTTGATCCAAGGCTTGTGAGTGAAATTGAGCATGCTGGCCTTGTTCAAATTGTTAATCACACTAGATAACACACTCTCTCCCAGAAACTGTAACTAAGGTCTGCTCAGCATAGTTGCAGTATAAACCAAAGGTGGGCTCTGTGGGTGTTGAGCAAACACAAATGTGCCTCAGCGAATGTCTGCAAAGGGACTGGCTAGCTGCCCTAATAGACAGATATCCTTGAATACAAATGGCCAGCTATTACATATATAGTGTGTGTGTGTGTGTGTGTGTGTGTGCGGTAAGATATGATCATTTACTTGCTATTATTAATATATTTTAATAATTATTTCTTTTTCTTGTCTTCATTCATACACTCTGTTAATTATACTTTCCGTTTCTACTTTTCCTTGGCCTCTTTTTTTTTTTCATCCGCCAAAAGCAGTCTGGAAAAAGCCTCTTATTAAAACAATGTGCAATCATTTCATTTAATTAAATTATAACAACCTCCTCCCTTCCCTATGTGTCTATGAAGAGCAAAAGAAAAAGAAAATAGATGATAATTTAATACAACTTGGTAAGAAGGAAAATTGCATGTAGTAATCATCAAGGAAAAAGAGGAATTTTGATAAGGAGATTTTGAATGGTAAAAGAATAAAAGTTAAAATGATAATAGAATTTGAAAAGAATTAATTAATCATTAAGAATGAAGAAAAATTGGTATTAGAAATGTCACCTGTTTCTCATACAAATTTTCTTTGTTTTCATGGATTAATTAATTTCAAAAAGAGTAAAACATGAAAAAAAAAGCAAAATGGATTATTAAACGTAGAGAGCAAGAAGAATAAAATTTAAAAGAAGGAATGAAAAGAAAAACTGATATTTGACTTTGGAGAAAAGGAAGAATAAATAAAAGTAAGAATGAAAGATGTAAGGATACAAAAAGCAATTATCTCCCTTTGATCAAGATAGTCACATAATGGACACTTAGTAACGTCACTTCATGCAGTGATAAAAGAGGTCAGTCATTCATTAAATCAGTAAGCTTATTGGTGTCAAGACACACATCTAGTTCATCCTGCCTGGGCTTCTGCCCAGGGCAGCCAGATGCCAAATTCTACAGCTTACAAGTCCATGGTGCCATTTCTCTTTGGGAATATATCTTCCCCAGATATAGAAATCTCCAGCTAGCAGCCCTCAATTTAAGAAAACCATAGACTTGCCATTTCCTGTTCATGGAATATGTCCTTGCCTGAGACATAATAGATTAATTTGGCCCACTTGAGTCCTAAACATAGTTACACCAGATACACAGAAGAATCTCCATATTATATGGTTATTTTTCAGCATGCCCATGTCACTATTGAATGCAACACATGGTTGAGGCTTAAAGTGGATTTATTGGCTATACTTTGGAAAAACTGGCCAAGCCCCCTCAGCAATTCCTCTTTCAGGGACACCTCAGGTTCTGGTCAATAAACCCAGCCTCCTCCCTAAGGTGAGGTACTACATAGAGGGAAAGACCCCTTGGGCTTAGGCATAATATTTTTTAAACTCTCCCAATTATGACTTTATCTTTTCGTGTAGATATATATTATATTTTTCTCTTTGTGGGAAACATGTAAAGATGTATATATAGTTTGGTACATGTCTTAAGTACCAAACATGTTTATCATTCCTTTTCCTTTCAGCCATTCTGATTCGTTCATGAAATATGGGGTTATTATATCACAGATATAATACTGCCCATAATTGGGAAAATACAAATGGGAGAATAAACCTTTCTTCCAAGCTCTCCCATTATAAAGAAATTGTAAAACTAAAAATATTGAATGAATAAAGAAAAAGGAAACAATGAAAAGGAAAAGGATAAAAGGGAAAAATTAATTTCCCAAAAAGAAGACAACAAGCTAAAACACATGCATGCACAGATCCCATCTAACATCTGACTAGGGGCAAAATATAAACAAAGCCTGAAATGGTGGGAATAAATTATTTGTAGTTATAATGAAAATGAGATCTGAGAAATCACTACAATCCAACATGACACCTGACAGCCATGATTAAAATACTGATTATCTCCCTTAGGACTCTTTTGCCTTTCACAGACCTCAAAAGTTTAAATGCAGTGTCAAAGTCATTTCAGAATGTAAAACTATGAATAGAAGAAAAAAAAAACGGCTTTACTATTACCAGCTTTTACCTGTTATTTTTTAATCATATTTAACAGCACAAAAGATTCATGAGTCTATCAAAAGCCCTCCCCCTCTCCCCATTCAGCAGGGTATATTTTCTTCTTCCTCTAGATTCTATGTTCCTTCAGGATCTACAATTTTATGTCCTCCATAACTCTTAGTAAATTTTGTCTTTTTAATACCTCTTCTAATCCCTGTTCTTCCAACCATT